GCTTATCCATTCGTGGTACTGCTGGAAATATTGCCGTAGCAGAGCTGGAATTCCAAATTGTTTGCCTTCAAACACCACCCAATTACGCGACCGCCATATTCACCACAGGATAGCCGCCACTGCCATGAACAACTGAGGCTGACTAAGCGTACCCAACAAATTCTTCAAAAACAGGGGGAAGGTATGACCCGGCAGCCCTTGACCAAGATGGCCCAAACCCGCCTGCTCCCAAAGAGCCCTGGCCACCCGACAGTCAAAGAACAAATGCTCCATCGTCTCCTTTTCTGCCCAGCATACAGGACACCGCGGGAGAACATCCACGCCCTTCTCGATCAACGCTTCGGTCGTCGGAAGGATGCGACGAAACACTTGCCAAAGGAACACTTTGAGTTTAGGAGGGATGTTGGCATTCCATAACCGAATCCAACTTGGCTTATCCATCCAGCTAACTACAGGTCTCCACCGACCCACCTGTTATTTATTGAATTTCATTATCTAGTATTCATGAATTTACAAACTCAACATGTATTCAAACTAATTTTTTGTTAGATGTATTTAAAATTAACAGTAACAGAAAAATGACTAATATTTTGATACATTACAAAAAATTTGGCTAATAAAAAAGAATGTGGAAAAGATTTGGCTAATAATTAGTGTTTACCCAAAAAAATTATTTTGTTTAAAACGGAAACACTCCTCCAACACTTATCATTGTAACTAATGAAATTGTGAGGCATGAGTAATTATACATATTTTGTCTCATAATACTTGGTCGAGTCTTGATCATATGGGTGTGAAACACCCTGATTTAAGCCAGTTTTATATTAGGTTGTATGTTTTTATCGTATTTCAGGTCCTAGTGTGAGATTGGAGGCCGAGAGCGAGAGTCGTGGTGATCATAGTTCAAAATGCGACAGGACGTGAAGTCGGAGTCTATATCATGGCATTGGAAGACATGTCACTCATTAAGCCGTGAGTTTCACCCCCAAGCCGTGAAGTAATGTTTCTAAAAGTTCTAGGGATGTTTTGCTATGTCATGAATTCTTTCACGGTTTCCACCTATGTCACCGATCAAGCCATGACATATCTAAGTCATGGCATGAAGAGGGTTCGGCAAGTTAGTGAAAATGATGTGTTTTGTATGTCGTGACTTGAGTCACGACTATGACAAAGGGCGTGACACGCAAACTGCTAACTATAAAAAGACTTTAGTTGGCATTCAGAAGGAATCTAAGTTTTTTTATTATCTTCAAATCAAGCTAGAAGAGCCCTAGAGAAAAAAAGTGGCGAAGAGAGCACCCTTTGAGCTGATTTGAACCATCCTTCCACCATTGGAGCTTAAGTTTCGTCCATTGGATTGAAGATCAACCTTCCGGAGGATATTTTTATTGTCTACACGATGATGACTTCTTTTCACAGTGTTTTCCTCTCTTATTCTATTGAGTAAACTTCTCTTTCCCTTGGGTATAAAGAACCCTAGCCTTGTAGCCCGGATGATTTTGGTTTGAACCTTAGATTGTGCAATTTGAAATTATTTATTCAATTGGTGCATTTTTCATAAGTTGTATGAATATTGATCAAATTGTTATGAATCTTGCTTTGACCTAGGATAGAGAATATATAAATAGGTTAAGAGAACATCTTCAATTGGAAGTGTTGAATCGATTACACGAGAGTGTATCGATTTACTACATTGTACTAGATTTTGGTCCGTAGAGTGAGTCTATTCAATAAGCGTAGCGAGTAGCTCACGCTCGGATGCAACATCGGAAAGAGAGGATGACAAAATGAAGTTTTTAAGTCCTAGTTCAATCCGGGAAATAGGCAAAAGATAAGCTATCTGGAACGAGTAAAACGGTATATGAGCTAACACCATTGGGGGATAAGCTAGGGCCTTGTCGACTTTAATTTAGTGGCAAGGCTAATTCTGGATTATCTACTGTATAAATTTTAAATGGCAAGAACTAGGGACTAAACTACCTCGCCTAGCTAAAGACTAGGAGGAAGCATACATGAGTGACCTTTCTCATATTTAAAATCCTGAAACAATTTAATTGCTTCTTTAGTTTTAGTAATTGACATTACAAGCTGCTTGTTAGATAATAGTTAGTTCACTAAGTAATACTAGACTTAGCAACCCTAGGTTGATAATTAAAACTGTACTTTCACTGTATTGCTTCCCGGTCTTTGGTTGTGCTTGGCCATTAATTGGAGTAGTAGTTTTAGGGAGTCAAGTTTAGGGTGCGTTGCTGAGAAAAGTTCTAGGTTATTAGGAAAACTGAACTTCGATTACTCTAGTTTTTCTTTTATGCATTCTACTTTCATCCCACTGTTGCACTTCACGGTTTGTGTGTTTGAGTGTGTGGCATATATTGTATGACCCGGTGTCAATAGGGGAACATGCTGCCACTAGATGATAATATCAACCGTACTCTTTGAGACTTCAAGAGGGAAAGATACAAAAGACAGGATTTAGAGCAAGCAACCAACCAAGTTCCTCCCATTGAGGAAGATGAAGGATTGAAGACATTCAACCAAGCATCCAAAATCCTCCCATTGCTGCGAAAAATTTCAAGGTCAAAACCACCTTGATCTCCATGACTCAGAACAACATCCAGTTCCATGTGAGGAATGATGAGGAATGACAAGAACATCATAACTAGTTTTTGGAGCTTACTAATGGTATAAAGTCCAATGGTGTACTGCAAGATGCCTTCAAATGAGTAGTTGTAGTGTTTTACGAACCGCATGGGTCCGTGGCCGTTTTGTTGACAACCGCACCCCTACCTGGCGATTTTCAGTATATATTTTTTTTTGTCCACATAAATCTTATAAATGGTCTTGGCACAATTGGTTTAGCGATTTTCAATATATATATTTTTTTGTCCACATAAATCTTGTAAGTGGTCTTGGCACAATTGGTTTAGTTTTTTCCTTGTTTGCAAGAGGTCCCAAGTTCGAATCACCATCAATCCCATATTAAATTTTTTTTATTTAGTAGAGATATTAAAAAAATAGTGGTGGTGGTTCAAACCCAGATTCATTAAATAGTTAAATAAATTCAGCACAACATCTAGACCACCACAATAAAACTCCTCTTTTGAAATAATTACATATTGACAAACTTTTAATCCTTGAATACTAAAAATCATCCATAACTTTAGACGGCCATAACTTTGTCCTTCAAAATCCGAATGTCATAAATTTTTTTAGGAAAAAATCCCATCTAAGAAACGTTGATGGGAAGGTTACGGTTGTGACAACCAAGGGAAGATTAATTTTTTTTAAATGTCTATTAATTGCATTTGTATTAATTAGATTCTATTAATAAAATTTGAAAAGGGAATTTTTTTAAAGAGCAATACTTGGCTGCTACCCTGGTTGTAGCGCATTCCTGTATCCAGCACACGCGTCCTTGTATTATTGGTTTGTTTAGTGTTTGTATTAGTTAATGTTGTCCTTCATTTTTAATTTCCTGCTCATGGTGATTGACAGAAGCCGTATATAACACTAGTGAATTTTTTTAGTTGTCTTGGAATCTTGAATTATTGAGAGTTGAATACAATAATTGAATACGTTTTTATTGAGTTGTGTCTTTTTTATTTGTACTTACATTAGAAAATAAAAGTTTAGAAAATGGATTGATAATACTTTACAAAATTATATAAATTTCAATACATTTTAGGAAAATTTTCCAGGAGCATATAAATTATCATGTTATGATGCATATATAACTACTATATATTTTTATATCGCATAGTCCATTGGTACAAATATTTTATATTTTCGTACTACCGTGATACATTTTTCATAGCATTGTTATATATTTCTCATACCATCATAATATAGGATCTATATCTTAATCTTATTTCAAAATATATCAAGTCGATTTCATGATTAGTCTCGTTTTCCTAGAATTTTTCAATCTAAAATAAAAATATAAGATTTTCCACAACCATGAAAATCCTAAAAAATATAAGATTTTCCACAACCATGAAAATCCTAAGATTAACTATGTTAAGAAAAACAAGGAGAACTAATCTAGGAATGCGAATTTCTTATTATCTACTTCATTATTAATCTCATTAACAATTAAAATGAAAAAAGACATCATTTAAGAAGAAGAAAACAAAAACAATAAAAGGCCTACATGTGTGCTGGATGCAGGAATGCGCTGCAACCAGGGTAGCAGCTAAGTCTTGCCCTGGAAAAGGTAACTCTTCTTTCTACTTCTGCCTCCTTGTCTTTTGTTGATCGCTTTGCTCGATTGTCAACATCTCTATTTAATCCGATCGTGTAAGAAAAAATAGTACCGCTACACGAAAATAAATACCAGTACAAAAAAAATATCACCAATAAAAATTTAGCCAATACCAGTACATACTACACAATACAAATACATGAAGATCAATACCAATACAATAAAATTAATATCATAAAAAATCAATACCACTACAGAAAAGTCTATGATTGGGATTGAGTGTTAGAGATGGAGAGGTTTGGATTTGAGCATCGAATATGGATAGGCTAGGACTCAACATACTTAATTATACATTAAAACAATGTTGGCCTCTCCTCCAAAACACCATAGAAAGGGTGAGGTGGAAAGTCATTTATGAAATGGGATAACAATCAAATACGGTAAGTTTTTTTTATATTTCCAGAACTACCCAAAGCAAACCTGATCATCAATTAAAAAAAAGGAAAAATGCAAGGTATAGATGTAGGTTGCCGCGATAACAAACACTTATTTGTTATTCTTTTTTATATAAATTGATGCAGTGTATCCTACCTTCATACATAACCTGACGGGGCTCATAGAGACTCTGAGTGTCATACAAGATCAAGTACATCAACATAGGGTCACTAGCAAGAACGAAATGAAAACCTAAAGGTATAGAATGACCTTGATTCGCAAGGTAGTCGACACACTTATTACCTTCCCTGTAAACAAGGGGAAAACAACCTCCCAGTCTCGCCTGACTAAGGCTTGTGGGCAGTCAATGACTGAAATATGCTGGTGGTCCGAGTTTGCATTGTTGCTGATAAGATGGACGACACAACGAGAGTCTAGCTCCACCCGCACGCATTGATAGCCCAGATCCCAAGTCAGTTGAAGTCCTTCCACAACGCCTCTCAACTCAGCTCGGGTGATCAAACAGATCCCCAAGCTCATTGCGAACGCAGCAATGCAGTGTCCTGAGTGATCTCTCAACAGGCTTCCCGCAGCAGTAGAGCCCGTGACATGGTGAATGAACCCACTAGGGAGGAGGGGGCTTCCATGAGATTAGCTCCTCCGTTCTAGCAGGCGGACACGGGTGATGAATTGGCTGGTCCTTGTCCATGACATTCCTTACGACAGTTAACCAAGGCAGGACGGGTTGTATAAAAGCTTCAACTGTAATGACCTTGTTTGCAAAAACTCGGTCATTTCTAGTCTGCCAAAGGAATCAGCCAGTAAGGCCAAAAGATAGGTCAGTGTGCTCTTCCTTTAGGTATTTCGCAATCCATTCCTGCAAAGTCAAACTGAAAAGGTTTGGTAATCAGAAGGTCAGATTAGCCTCATCCAAGTTAACTGGGCAAGCTAACTGTCCTACAACACATGCAGGACTGTCTTAGGTGTAGATCTCCAAAGGGTGCATGTTGTTTGAGCCATCAGATGTCTCCTTCCTCGTTCCGCATTGGGAGAAGTCTCTCTCGAGCTGCTAGCCACATAAAATGTTGGGCCCGCACCGCTCCACTCCACTTCAAGATAGTCTGCCAGTTGAACTCGCGCTCTAGCTGCTCATGGTTGCAGGCGATCTCATACGTGGACCGTATTCTAAACCGCCCATCCTCCTCCGGCCCCCACGTGGCGACGTTGCTCCCTGAGTCTGCCATGGGAGGTTGGATCCCTTGAACCTGCAAAACATAATCCTCATGGAGGAGTGACCTTAGGAGATTAGTGTCCTACACTCCTTCTCACCTGCCGTTGTTGTGAAGGCCACAACCGCGTCGGAGGGGTTAACCAGCACTGCCTCTTCCCGCACGTAGTCTAGCAGCCGCTCTCCGCTGTCAATCCACCTATCAGTCCAGAACGACGTGGTTTGGCCATCCTTTATACACATAAACATTCCCCCGATCATCAACGGCCAGGCTTTGTGGATCCCTCTTCAAAGCTGGCTCGAGATGTAGATTTATACACCATATGGCCCCAACAACATTGAAATACTTTGCCTGAAATACCTGCACCCACAATTCCTCTGGGGGTAGTTTGGATGCAGGATATTAATATGAGGGAATTGAGGCCCAAATCTCTCAATTAAAAATCCAGGTATTTATCTTGTGGGATTTAGTCCAAATAATACATTTGGCAAGGATCAAGATTTTTTAATAAAATATTAAAATTACATAACTACCCATATTTGTTTCTTTCCTTAGTGCATCTTCATCCCCTAATCTTCCTTTCGCTTGTCTTGACGAGATGGATTGGGGAATGACAACTTAGATAAGAAAACAAATGGTTCCTTCTTGGCTCACTATTCCCCTGCGTCCTCGTCCCTCCCCTATGTTCTCACCATTGTGCATCGCCCCGCCATTATCAGCAGTTCGCAAGGAAGTCAGTTTGGGTGACAATTGGAGAGCATCAATGAATCGACTTCCGGCTTCTCATATGAGCAGATCTGAGGAGAAGCATACTAATCAGCTTCTAGGTAGTTGGGGAATGGATAAGGAGATAGCGATAGAAGGAAGAACGGGAGGAATCGGCGTCCGGCTTCGATCTCGCGAAGCCAAATTTACCAACTCTGCACAAAACTCTAGCTCCGATCTCCGGCTTGACGAATCGTTTTGTGGGTAGCTGGGAAATAGACGAGGAGATGGCGACGGACGGGAGGACAGGACGAATTGACTTCAGGCTTTGAAATCGTAAACCCCAAATTCACCAGCTATGCAGAAAACTCGGCTCCTATCTCCAGCTTGACATTAAGAAAAGGAGATGGCGACGAAAGCGGAAGACTAAAATTTGAGGTGGTGATGGAGGCAAGGAAATTGGCGATATCTAGGATGACGAATGGCGTTGGAGCTGATCCGAGACGAGGAATAAACTGGAATGGATGAGGGTAGAGTTTGTAAAAATGCAATAAAAAATGAGGGATTGTGCAATAGCTGATCCCCATCAGCTATTTTAAAAACCTGCATTTGACAGATTTAGAAATTCCTGATACTCACAATCTCTCATCTTACTAAACGACTGATTGTATTAAAATCCTGCATAATGAGGGATTGTTTTAAAATCCCTTATAAATCTCTCAATACAAACCTTCATCCAAACGACCCCCTGGGGTTTTCATGAAAAGTCAAGCGATTTTAGCAAAGAAAGCTAAATTAAGTTCATGATCTTTCCTATAACCTCAACCCATGAGGGTGAGCGTTTCCTGAACAAAACTCCAACTAACTCGATCATAAGCTTTCGCTAGATCGATCTTGAGTACCATTGTTCCTTTCTGACCCTTCTTCAGGTTCATGGAATTGACCACCTCCTGCAGGATAACAATGTTCCTCAAAATCTGCCTTCTTGTAATAAAGCTCGTTTGTGTAGGATGCACCAGATCTCTCATCAACGGATTGATACAATGAACAAGGCATTTTGTGAGAGTCTTGAAGATCATGTTGCAAAGGCCAATGGGACGGAATGGTTTGATGGTTTCTAGGATTTCTTTCTTTGGAATTAGCACCAACAGTGTCTCGTTAACCCCAGCAATCAAACGAGGATCCGAGAACGTGGCCATTACAAAATTGGAGACAGAATCACCTGCCACACTCCAGCATTTTTGGTAAAACAATGGAGGATAGCCATCCTTCCACGGAGCTTTGAAACATCGCATGCTCTTGATCGTCGCCCACGTTTCTTCCCCCGAAATGGGTCTTTGTAACCCGTCTCTGCTACCCTGTCGCAGCTCTTGGAAGGCCCCCATCAGACTTGGCCGTCATCCCTCCTCCGCCCGGTACAAAATTACATAGTAATCCCTCGCCATTTTGCACAACTCGACTTCCTCGAACACCCAAGTCTGATGGGGGCCTTCCAAGAGCATTTTGCACAACTCGACTTACTCGAACACCCACTGCCATTGCTTGTTCTTGAGCCCTCTAATCCTGTTAAAACTTCTCCTCTTCAAGGTTGAAAGATGATAAAAGTGAGTATTCTGATCTCCCTGAGCCACCCATTGAGCCCTATATTTTTGAAACCCCATGATATGTTCCTTCCAGAGAGTAGTTTCCAGTTCCTTGCGTACTTCACTTTCTTCTACACGGGAAGCAGTCGAGCCTGATCTCTCATACACCGCTTCCAAGACACTCAAACGCCAAGCAAGCGTCCTCTGTTATGCAAAATATGTCTTATGGTTACCTTGTAAAAGCTAGTAAGCTTTCCAGTGAGAGCAACCGACGATAAGGGAAAAGTATTTCCCCGTTCCCAACTGGCTGAGAGGACATGACCAAAATTATCATGCGCAAACCATGAAGCCATGAAATAAAAAGGTTTTAGGCCCAAGCTCCTCGTGTGAGACGTATCTTTCTAGAGAAGAATGGGTCTGTGGTCCGAACCGATCTGTTCCAAATGTCGTGTGACTGTCTAAGGGAATCGAGTAATCCAGAGCTTATTACAAATGGCTCTATCTAGCCGTTGTTGAAGTGTGCCCCTCCTCCAAGTAAGCCTGAACAAGTAAAGCTGACGTCCAGCAGGCAACTGTCATCCAGGCAACTCTTGAAGGGTCGAGACCGAGCCTCCTGATACGAACCTCCCCCACAGCGTTCCATGGACTTCAAGATGGAGTTAGAGTCTCCAATTAGAACTTAGGGGACGGTAGTATGTGTCGAGAGTCTTCTAATCTCGGCCAAGATTTGGTGGCGGAGAGACGTGTTAGGAATGTTGCACACCGCGCACCCCCAGCTTCATGCACTTCAAGTGGATCATTTGTTCCCACCCAGTGATGGAGACGACTTGGAGATCCTATCGATGCCATAGCACCAAGATGCCACCTGAAAAACCAATATCGTCCATAATTATGTTCCCGTCAAAACTCGTCTTCCGAATAACATCCCAAGCTACGTCTCCTCTGATTCGCAGTTCCACAATAATAACTAAATCCGGCCTCGTGGAGGTTCAAAATTTCTCAGCTAAACCATGAAATCACCACTCCCTGCTCCTTGGTAGTTCCAAGCAAATATGTTAAACATAACAAATAAAAAAGAAAGGAAACACACTTATATCCAAGAGGATAGAGGACTCCCCTGGGTGCGGGCTAATGCCCGATCAAAGAGACAAAACAACAGGATAGGGATGCCCTTCCGACTTTGTCTGCTCAAGAGCCTGCAAGGATGGGCTCTGGGTATCCGACACCCCTATTTGTCCATGGGACGGGGTATGGCCTTTCTCGGCAGTCTTCTCCGCCCCATGCTTTGTGGCTTTCTGATTCTTGGTATGATTCTGACCCTTCTGAACACCTTCTGACGTAGGTAATCATTTGCCCCCTGATTTGATGACTTTTAAGCTAGCCTCCGCTTTCCTGCCGATCCCAAAAGACGCCTGTTGGATGGGGACACTCACCATCCCTTTGATATTTCCACTCTCCTCCTTTCTTGCTGGTCCCAATGGAGTTTGTTCAGGAAAATGTGTTGTGCTCATAGGCATCATGGCCTAGGACGCCGCAAGAGAAGTAGAAGTACGTTGGGGAGGTTAGACTCTAACCCTACAACAGCTCCATGCACCTGCATACCGTCGAGAATGGCTGAGGAAGTCTCACCATTACCACTATTATCCATATCAATTTGTAGCTATTCTTCCTCAACCAGTGCCAAGAAGCGTGAGCCTCCAGGTATAGACGCCACCTGTGGTGTCGACGTAACTCCACCGCCATTCAGCGAAGGTTTTATCCTCTAATTGGGTTTGTACTTCAGTTTGACCATTATCTATTCTCCATAAGCACTCAGAGGAGTAGCTGTAGCTTTGGTACTTGTTTGAGGTTCCACCGGACTCTCTGGTTACACTTTCCTTAGTGACGGGCAGGTTGTCTTCGAGTGGCCATACATACCACATTCTCTGCAAATGTTA